TATATGCTAGGTGGACAGGTCCAGCGATATTGTTGAAAGAGTAAATCCTCATTCTTATAAAGTTAAATTACCCAATGGGAGTGTGCGGCATGTTCATGTAACAAAATAAGAAAATTTTATGTTCGAGCACAAACTGTGGGAGTGATATTTGAAGATGATTCTGAGTTTGGGGAAATTTATCCAAGTCCAAACAAAGAAGATTGCGCAGCAACTAGAAGGGACATCGAGGTGGATATTAGACATTTAGAGGGTAGCAAACAAAAGGAATTACACGAGCTTTTACTCAAGTACATCACGTTATTTTCTGGTGAGATCCAAATAGCCAGCGTTGGTGAACATAGAATTTGGTTGTTACCTGGAGCTGAAAGAAAAAATCCATATATCTATAAGATCCCAGAATCTTTAAAACCTGAAGTAGATAAACAGATCGAGGAATTAGAGAGCTTGGGTCTTATTGAGCCAAGTGAAGCTGAAAGAGCATACCCAGTCATATGCGTTGCCAAAAAAGACGGAAGTATGCGTTTATGTATTGATTTTAGATTGTTGAATCAAGTAACCAAGCCTGTTGATTTTCCAATGGAGAATATGACTGATCTAATCAATAAAATTGGACACGCGAATATAATCACCTGTTTAGATGTTTTGAAAGGTTACTGGGAAATACCTTTAGAAGAAGAAAGTCGTGATTTAACATCATTCAAGACACATCGTTCCCAATACTGTTGGACGGTGATGCCTTTCGGATTAAAAAATGCAGCTTCTACTTTTCAGCGAGTGATGAATGATGCCTTAAGAAAACATAGTGATTTTTGCAAAGCATATATTGATGATATTGCTATCTTTTCACCAGATTGGAATTTGCATCTCTTCATCAAACATTTAGATGCTGTGCTAACTACATTAAGTGATCTCAGATTTACGGTGAACATAAAGAAATGTGTTTTTGCACGTTCGGAGATAAAGTATTTAGGACATATAATAGGAGTTGGAAGAGGAGCTGGAAGACATCAACCTGATCCTGAAAAATTACAAGCCATTGAAATTATAAAAAGTCCTAAAACAAAGACTGCTCTAAAGAGTGCATTAGGCTTATTCAACTATTATCGTGATTACATAAAGAATTATGCAGAAATAGCTCGCCCATTGACGGAGCTTACGAAAAAGAAAATTCCTGAGATAATTCCATGGACTGATGTTGAGGAATCAGCATTTCAAGATCTGAAACGTCGACTGTGTGAAGCACCAAAACTGTACACTCCAGAACCAGAAAAACCTTACACCATACAGTGTGATGCTAGTTCATATGGTGTTGGTGCTTGCTTGTCACAACGAGACAGCAAAGGCAGTTTGCATCCTATCAGCTTTGCCAGTCAAAAACTTTCGAAAACTCAGCAGAACTGGTCAACTATTGAACGCGAGGCTTATGCCGTTGTGTGGTCACTAAAAAAGTTCGAGTGTTGGGTGTTTGGATTGAATATTGAGCTGATCACAGACCATAATCCATTATTATATTTGCATAAGTCGACACCATATTCTGCCAAATTACAGAGATGGGCAATGGCACTTCAGCATTATAATATTCATATTTCTCATTGCCCTGGTGAACTATTAAAAAATGCAGATAGTCTTTCAAGACTAGTTGGTGAATGAAATAGGTGTGAACTAAGTATGAACTAATATGTTTAAAACTTTGTATTAGTTATTTTTCTTTTGTTCCGGAATTGTACAAGGGCTACTTTCCATCTGTTTTGGAAAAAAAAAAAAAAAATAGTGGTTTTCATTTAATGTTGCATTATAATATTGTGTTTTGAAATACTATTGCATATATGTTTTATTACAGAACTTCTGTATTGTATCAAAGCACCTGTTCATCTGTTGTGATATGAATGTTTATTGCACTTATTTTAAAGTATGTTATTACATCATGTATACATGTTCATATATTTTGAATTAATTTGGTTAAGAAAAAATATATATTGAGATACTAGGCAAGTATTGGTATTACGTTCGTAAAAGTGTTTATATATGTCATTTAAGTGCTTAATTGTTTATTTCAATGTGAGAGGATTTAAATATTAATAAGTGTATTAATTATTAAGCATTGGTTTGTGGAGTATACAATTTAAGTTTGTGAACTCATTTGCTGGTTCAGTTTTCAGATTCTGCTTTGCTTTGGCGTAGCACAATCTTACCGGGGTGTCATGTATCTGGCTGCAGTGAGCCAATCAGCTGCCTGCCAGAGTCCAGTAAGTGAGAGAGACGGCAGTTGCATGTTAGCCTCAGAGGAGGAAGGTGGTGAATGAATGAATTTAATGGTATAATGACAAGAATATGCAGCAATAAAAAATTCTTAATATGTCATTTAAAAGAAATACCAAAATTTTCATATTTTATTTGAAAGCAGTTTCAACCACTTTGGATAAAACATAGTTGGATAACTGCTACATAGCTATTAAAGTTTGATAAGGCATGGAAAGCAGCTTAAAAGATTTCGCTATGTTGTAGGAGTGAGGTACTGCTCCGAGTATAGTATTATTCTTTGAACGTTAATTTTTAATAAATGTTTGTTTCATTTTTTTAATGGTGCCTTATTCATCTGTGAAGCCATTAGTAAATACTACAAATTGTGTTGATGATAATGCTTGTTCATATTGTGTCTTAAATAACTTTGTGCATGATTTAGAAAGAGCTTTTAAGCTGCTTTCCATACCTTATCAAACTTTAACAGCTTTAGCTATGTAGCAGTTATCCAACTGGGTTTTATCCAAAGTGGTTGAAACTGCTTTCGAATGAAGTATGAAATTTTTTGTATTTCTTTTAAATGACATATTAAGAATTTTTGATTGCTGCATATTCTTGTCATTATACCATTAAATTCATTCATTCACCATTACATTCATTTTGTCACCAGTAATATTCATCAAATACAAGCTGATGATTTTGAAAATATGACTTTAATAACAAGCTCAGTGATAGCACAGTTCAGGTCAAGTGCATCTATTACCAACAACAATTACCTATTGGTTGCATTCAAACTGCGTAAACAGCAGAAAATATACATAAAGTAGCATAAGCTTTTCAGCATACCCTCAACATTCTGCTTGTCACCTTTCAGCCATTTTATACTTACTCCTAGAACTGTTTAAAACATCTTACATGAGAATTCTATCCCTTTAAAATCCAATAATTGAACAAATCCTTCCCATGACTTGAAATTATTGCAAAGAATCATTGCAAATGATTGAAAATGTGCTGCAATACCTGAATCACCTGATAATGTCAGAAGAAGCTCATTTTCACGAAAATGGATATGTCCAACAAACAGAACTTGAGCAGCAGAGAATCCAAGCATATCACATCAGAAATCACTGCACAATTAAAAAGTTACAGTGAGGTGTGCTGTTTGTGCATCCAGAGTGAATAGGGCCTAATTCTTAAAAAATGCTAATGGTCAATTTCTATGGTCACATCAGATAGATATGTGGTGCTGTTCTGAGGTCTGAACTTTATTGGTGGCATATTGACACATACCTGGTAAATTCCAATAGGACGTTGTTACTGCTCAAACAGCAAGAAATTCGGTGGTCATTGTGTAAGGAATGTTTCCATAACATATCTCTCATTTTGGAGATGTTGAATGGCCTTTACGCTGGCCTGCTTTATTAGCATGTGATTCCCCCTTCCGTGACATTATTTGAAGGATAAAGGTCTATGCCTACCAACCTTTTATTATAACGAAAATCAAATATTACATCTGAGATGAAATTCATGCAGTTCCATTGAATTTTCTGTGAAAAGTCATGGATAACATCACACAATATGCTAACATATGCTTTACCTCCAACAGAGCTCATATGAGGGATGTTATCTTCAAAAAATGACTTGAAAATAAAATTATTTTCAGTTTTTCAAAAGTGTTTTACTTATTATTATTATTCAGTTTTCAATTAAAGTATTCATTGTATAACTGCTTCTTACCGATTCTGTATCAAAGGAGAAATGATGAAAAAAGAATGAATTAGCCTTTTCATGCATGCAGGGAAAAGTCAATAATCTGCCACATTCAAGACTTAGCAGTGCCAGATTATCACACTAAAATTGTGTAATGCCACAAAATGTCCTTCCCCCCCCCTCGTGTGTGTGTGTGTGTAAGGGGGAAGCAGCATTATTGAATGCATTGAGAAATGGGGAAAAAAATGCTCGAAGTCATTCCACAAGCATAATTAATTACTCAAACTTGCCAGTATATTAATACAGTTTAATTGTATAACCAGTTTTAATTTTGGAATCATCAATGTAACCAATGCATGCAATCTTTTCAAATAAAATTTAAATGGCCGTTTCAGAGATTTCTTTCTTTAATTATTCCAAGGAATATGAATATTTATTGTTTCTTCAATATTATATTTTTTATTTTTTTCAGAAAATTTCACAAACATATGTCAAATGGTAAATGATACCTTAGTTCAAAGTTTCTCTTCATCGTGTTTTTTTTTTGGGGGGAGGGGGGGGCTATCTGCAGATTTAACACAATGTGAATCATTCTGTCACTTCATTCTTTTAAACTATTCATTTATTTTTGTCGCTTTCAATTCATTCAATAATTTAACTTATTGAAAGCTTGAATATACTAATGCCCCATTTTTCTGTTTTATGCACTCAATAATTTTTTTCAAATCCTGAAAATATTTTAACCCTCTGAGCGGCACTGCTATTTTAGATTTTCTCATCAAGACTTGTATTTAAACAGCTTCTATTAGCTAAATATTTATTATTACTTAATTTAGTCTCTGTTTTCATAAACTTACATTCATTAAGATAATAGTTACAGTACTAAAGAAAGTAGGAAAGCAAAATATTTTATCAAAATATTTATTATATATTATTTTTATTTAAGTGTGATCTAATATATGCAAGTGACAAAAAACTACATAACTGACTAAAGCGGCTTGCCATTCAGAGAGTTAAATAAATAAAGATGAAAAAAGCAAATAAAGAAAAAAGCAATATAAACATGAACAAAGGACTAAGCGAAATTACAAAAAGATAAGAAGTAACTTCAAGTCCTTCTAAATATTGCTAAGTGGAATTCTAGTAGTATTGTATTACAGTAGAACATTGAGAAGTGGATGCCTTATTAATAGGTTTATTGAACTAGAGGATACTAGATTATTGGACTTAAACTGTACTTGTAACTTCAGTTAACACCATTTCACATAACATGACATTTCATACAAAAAGAATCTAACATGAATGTCAATATTTAACTCACCTCATTGAATACCTAGATGTTGTACCACAAAAGTATTTAGATCTTTCACCAGTACAGATCAAGTTTTCTTGCTGTTGACTCATTTCAGCACCTGATAACAGTGTAGGCCACAAAAACAAGGAAAAGAATCTCTTGATAAAGAGAGTAACAGCTTCTTTAGATTTAACAAGTTCATCACATATGCATTTACTTGTTGCATCTTCACTTGCGGTTTCACAAGCAACATCATTTTCCAAATCTCCATCCACTACAATGTAATTCTCCTTCTAAAATTAAAATAATAATAATAATGAAATACAGACAAGTTTCAAATATCACATACAGAACAATGTAGCCCTTTCTGCTACTAACATTACATATGGATAAGCTATTTTGACTTATTATGGTTATTTAACTGTTATTCCAGGGCTATTCTAAAACCGAATCTTGGATCAAATGAAAAATTCTAATGCAAAAACATAAAATCAAAATAAATTCTAACTATGTTTTATAAATGTTGTTTTAGATAAATTTTGACAAAAATGTCATAGTAATAAAAAACCATAAACTTTTTTAATGCTAAAATATTGTACCAAAATGATATATTTGCACAATATACACTCAAATCATCTTCACATGCACGGAATAATGGATTTCTCAGAAACTGTGAATTATAATTTTATGAATTTATGTGCAATGATAAACACATAATACAAAACACATAATTACAAAGAACACACATAAAAAATACATACACATAAATAAAGAACATACATACAGTTTAAGACTTCTGAAATTGTTTTCAAGTGTAGAGATTGTTTGTCTTCAAATATTCACACACTGCGCTGTTTCCATTATTGTCTATCCTGCTTTTAAGCAAATACTTCCTAGATTTTTCTAAATGATAATTTGGAGACATAACAAAACATTTTGACTGAACACACTGAAATTAAATGTTGTATTGCAGAAATTCACTCAGATATTCACTTTGCACAAAGTGCTTGATCACCAGCAGATGATGTAATGATTTGATTTGCATATCAGAAATAGCATTGTGATTATTTTTTATTAGATGTTGCTCATTACACTTGTCTTTCATGCATTCCCAGCAAAAATGGATTACATGAACTAGATATTATACAGAATATTACTTTTGAATACATAAAAATAAATTTGGACATGACTGTATTTGGATTAAGCATTTGAAAGTATTTTAAAAAATGTCTACTGTTGGGCTAACAAAATGGCTTTTCCTTTCCATAACTACTTTTTAATATAGTTGAATGTGCACTATAGAAAATATTAACAACACAAAAGCAACATAAATTTGGTAAAATATGCCAGAATAAATATGTTTCATAAGAACATAGTAAAGTTAAATTAAATTTAAATAATTCTCTTGTGCCGGTATAAAGCTAATAAATTTAAAATTTAATTAAGAAATTTTAATTGCAGAAATAAAAAAACCCATTAAACTTTTTTTTAAAAATAGAACTAAGTACAAAATTATTTAAAAGGAAACCAAACTATTAGAACTTGAAAATAGTTACATTTTGAAAAAAGTGAAATCATTGTTAAATCCAGAATAAATATGATGTTTTTCCAGGTTCAATAGTCATCTCATTTTGTTGTTTCTGTATAAAATCAAATGAATAACATGACAAATAACAAATGTACTACTTGCCTTTCATGCTGACTAAAACTATTTTATGCCAAAGCAAAGCTAAATTCAAACATAATGCCATTTCCATTTTCTCCAGTCACATACCTCTTAATCTACAGAATACTGCATTTTCAGAAACTATAAATATACTCATTATAGAATTAAGAGAATTTGCAGATTACATTGAATTTCTGAATGACTAATGAGCAGATTTGAATGAAATTTCATATGAATACATATTTATAATGGAGAAAGATATGTACCATTCAAAAGTCATTTTACTTATGCATGATTATCAGTAAAGCTGATATGCAAATGCAGGGATATTTAAAATCCAAATTATGAGAATTGAAAATGAGTCTAACATGGAGTATATGGTCCCCTCTTACAGTTAGACAGTTTGTGCAGCATTACAACATACTGGACAAGAGGCAGTTGAGGAGACCCTGTGGCTGTCAACTCCATTCCTGCAAGAAGGCAGTTTTCAACTGCTGGATGTTCTCAGAGAAATGGCAAGAAGAGATTGCCCTCTCAAAAGTGTCCCAGAGATGCTCTAGAGGATTATGGTAAGAAGATGTAGCTGGGTAATCCATGTGGTGCATATCCTTTCTCCTTTCTTTCAAGGTAATAGTTTACCAGCTAAGTCCTATGTGGACAACAGCTGTTGTCCTTTAACAGGAATTCAGGACCAACTGTGTCCCTGAAAAGTCGAATATAGGATTCTAAGATTTCCTCTCTTTACCTCACAGCAATTCGGCATCCTCTGTCAAACACATACAGGGGTGTGGCCATCCAACATAGTTCCTGCCCAAGCCATTACACCTCCACCATCATAATGATCCTTTTCTCAGGGAGAGATGGTATTGTGTTCAGGCTCTTTGCAGATCCAGGTACACCAAGAATCAATTTCAGGCTGAACCTCGACTCATCTGTAAATAATATGGTGCTGCATTGAAGTCTAGTCCAAGGTGAATGCTGTCTGCACCATGATAAAAGCTCTCCAGTGTGCTGCAGTGAACAGGATGTGAACAGTAGGTCTTCTGGCATACAGCCCTAGCTCATGAAGCTTTCAGGCAACTATAGAACATGAAACTCTATTTCCAGTGGCAGAATACAACTCATATGAGAAATATGAAGATGTAGCAGTCCTGTGTTGCACTCCTGAAAGTGTCAAATAATGATCCGCATTCGGCACTGTAGATCTTGGATGACTTTTCCAGGTCTTCTCAATATGGAACCAGTAACCTGAAACTGTTTTCACAAATTGCAGATGACACTGAACATCACACTGAGCTTTGTAGCCAGCTGCACTTATTATTGCTTATCTCCAATCTACCAACAATTATCCATCTCATTCCATCATCCATACATTCATAACCTACTTGTTTTACTTGATACCTTATAAAATTTCTCCAACTCTTTCACAAGAAACACAATGAGGGTTGTGATGGAGTACGAGCACACAAATTTCTGAAAACTCCTCGTGTGCTTATATCCCCCCCTCTGCAGATATAAACATGTACACTTATTCAACTCCAAATATTTCCATAATTCTTCGGAGGCATAATTAGTACCTTTGGTTCAACACTTTTTGTAAAAATAGACAAATTTGCAAAGTCTCTTAATTTTAAACATGAGTGTACATTCGCTATCAGAAGATGAAATATGGTTCTTTTAGGAACAAAGATAGTAAACAAATTTTTAAAAAAGATTGGACAAATTATCACATATTGCAGATTTTAAAATGGTAGATGATTCATAATGGATACTTAAAAAAATTCACGTTATTTCAAGTGATCAAAGCCCTAAAGTTATCCATGAAATGAGTCTGGCCCTAGTAATTCCCCAAAATGCCATGAGTAAGAAGCATCTATATTTTCTTGATAATAATTTAAAAATGAATCTCCTAATTTGTACTTTGAATCCTTTTCTTCAAATATATGCACTACTTGAACAATTGGACCCATTTCAAGCTACATGTCTTTGCATTTACAGTTATCATGACCAATACCTTTTAACCTACTCATATGGCAGAATGTTTATGAATTAACAGAGATACCACTAAAGGTAAGTTAAAATACCATTACCTTATTTTTTAAATTGCAAATTATGAAATATGATACTAAATTAAACAAACTAACGACAATTATTATTCATTACTGAATCATAATATACCTTCATAAATTATTAGTGGATTTAAGACTCTGAACACCATGGCTGCCTTTAACATGTTATGAAATTTGCTTTCACATTACACATTAAAATTATGAAAAAAGGCTGTTTTAGACTGGCAAAGGTTTTAATCAAAACCAAATAATTTAAAATTTTTTTGTTGGTTGGAAACGTTAAAGGAAAGACTATTCTTTTCCTTTAATGTTGTAAGCATCAGTTTCAAAATTACGTAAACAAATGTAATATATATATGTTTGTGTGTGTGTATATATATATATATATGTAAAATATAATAAAATACTATGGCTGTGTTGAGAAATAATTGGCAACTTTAAAATTGATTATTCTAAATTTGTTCTCCCAAATTCAAGATGTTTCCATGTTACATAACACTGCTTGATAGAGGAACTAAAATCTCGCAAGCAACTACATCCCTTTTTTTCCTGACTTCTGCCAACAACTCTGCAATGCTATGCTTTCCTGTCTAAAATGCTTACATTTTATTTTTAAAACCCATGTACATAAAAATTACTGTATTCAACTATGATTGAAAAGTCATTTGTCTGCGAAAGAGATGATTTGAAATGAGTAAAAATAAAGATAGTGGTTTGCCGAAATTAGTTTTGTCAGCATCTTATGCCTTCACCCTCAGCCATGACGATTATCGAAACTTAAAAGTACTGATGTCTTCTACGCAATACGTATATATATATATATATGTGTGTGTTACTGTGAAAGACCGAAATTGGAGAATGTGGACTTTCACCGGAGAATATCAACACTCACCAAATACGTCAGTGAAAGATTGAATATTGCATTACATTCTTGTACATTCGGACCCTCACTGATGTATGTCGACAATCACAGATATGCTCTCGTGTAGGTCGAAAAGAGAGGATTCGACAATTCAAAGTGTTATAATAGTTTAAGTTGTTGCAATAAATAAGATTTGAATCACATAAGTTAATAAGATTTTATTACTATTATTTTATTTTCTCTTTAGAACGTACTGTATAATTAAGTGTTTTTAACTTCTATTATTTTCAATTCTCATTTTGAATGTACTGTGTGTTTTAAGTTCTTATTTTAAGTCACAAGTGCGTTCTTTCGCGACAGAATTACAGAGAAGAAAATATAATATGCTTATATGTTCAACAATCACCATTAGTACATGGTGAATGTCAACATTACCGGTGTAAGTCGGAAATAAGAGTATTTGGAAAATATTTTGGACATACACCAAGCGACTATGTGAATGCTGACATTCATCGGTGAAAGTAGACATTCTCCAGATTTTGGTGTTTCACCGTAACATATATATATGTGTGTGTGTGTGTGTGCGTGTATGTATATAATAAAAATGAAATTAGAAGTGCAGATGAAGGAACATTGAGGCGTAGAAACGTAGCAATATAGATTGTGAAGCACAGATCCATACTGAAGAGGGAGAAT